AAAATTCTTAGAAGTGGTCATGCTTTCAAAGTTGTCAGCATCATTTGTATGAGTTGAGGTATAAAGTTTTTTGATCGTCCCCCATTTAAATAGAGTTCATAACCTATTGATAAAATGCTATGCATCCACTTCAGTCTAATAGGTTAAGTAGGGGTAGAAATGGAGAAACAGTTAATTAAATTGAGCTAAATTTAGCTGGGGGAATCTTTTGAGAGTGGATGTGTAAATTAGGAATTTTATCTTTTGTTTCTGTTAGTATGTTGTCCTTTAAGTAGGCTGGAGAAATAAGGTAGAGGTATCTTTTAGTGAAATCTGGTCATTGTACTTTCTGGGAGAGATGTGGTACTCTCCAATTGCCATGAACCCTTATTTTCAATCTTATAAAAGCATGTGAGTAGTGATTTTGATTATCTTTTCTTACTTCATCTTCTAGTGTTTATTGAATCATTGTTAAGCTTGAGTGAGTTAATAGCATTTTATATTCGAGATGATTAGATAAACAGAAGATGAAGTAAAACATTTTATATTCAAGATGATTAGATAAACAGAAGATGTTAGTCACAGAAATTCCAATACTATACTGCCATGTAAGAGATAAAAATACTTACATGATAGACTGGCAATCCTTCCAAATTAAAAAGTGCGATTGTTGTTTCTGGGGCTGAGAATGTGCATGTCCATATAATGACTTTAGATTCATCACTTGACTGGATCTTTACTGGATTGGCACTTTCATCTTTTGGCCCTGCTTTTTTCTTCTTTGGGGGCCGCAGTATCATCAATGGCTTTAATCTTGCCATAATTATGTTGCATTGTGTGCCTCCCAGCTTAACATCAATTTCTAATTTAATAGGTGATGTTGGCTGTAAATACATATTCTTTTATAAGCTCAGAAGTCTTTTAGGTTCACCTCTACATGACTAAAAGATACAACATATATAAATGATCCCAAATACGTGAAAATATTCCACATTACTATAAAGGATTATTTGTTATATGTTCTGCATATTTGTGGATATAAAAATAATAGTTAGTATTATCAGTTCATCAAAATATTTGATGACAATTTTTAATGTAAATGATAAAATAGAGCATACTTGTGAAAAATAGAGCATACTTAATCAATAGTTACTCTTAGTTTGCCATACTTCCTGCAACATTTATCATTTGATGATAAAATAGAGCATACTTGTGAAAAACTTAAGAACTTACCGGTGACTGAATATAAACAAATGAAACAACAGCAAGCTTGAATAAATTAAGAACAGATCTTCCATCTTCTTTAAGAATCTACAATATAATCGAGTGATAACAACAACAACAACAAAAAAGATTGTGAGCAATAGGAATAATATTAAAGAACAAGAAGTTGGTGTTGTGTCCATACATGAATCTCACTGAATTCTAATTGAAGATCAAGACATGTGCTTTCTCCAACATTCTCAACAGATTGAGATTTTATGCTCTTAAACTGGACAGCTGTGATGTTATTCTCCATTACAATATGATGCTCTTTATGTACAAACTTCAGATCCAACTTTGGCAAAATGATGGAAACCTAATATGCAAATAAAGTGATCGTGACTAGCTGCTTTGGGACTCCAACACGTCCCATGAGATAGAGGCTAGATGACGATTGTGGCAAAATAATTGTTTTTTTTTATGGATTTAACAAAATCTCTGTTAATTTAAGATGGCCCAGGCCCCAGGGATAGAAAACATTAAGAAATAGTAAGAGGGATGAAAATGCAAAAAAGATTATATTTTGGACCATATCCAAAAAAAAGTGATATAACACAGGGATGAAGCTATAATTTACTCCCACTACAAATAAAACTAATAAAAAACAACGGAGAATCAAAATGATATTAAAAGTTCTGCAGGTGAGGAAAGAGAAAGAAAGTATTTTATTAACTTATTAGCTTATCCCAGTATCAAAATAAATTTTCAAAAAATAGTGTTTGGATAAGTTTATATGGTCTAAAAACGTTATGAATTGATAAACATTTTTTAGTGTGTGCCAAAATGACCAAAAAAAGACTTCTTAAAAATGTGAGATATATATAAGTTATAAGGGTTTTTGATAAGTTATGGGTCAATAGCTTATCAAAAATAAGTTATCTCGGGTTCCACACCGTTATAAGTTGTTTTTAAAAAGTTGTATATCCAAACACTCATTTTAATTTATATCGGTGTAGAACTGGTAACAATTTAAAAAGCTCATTTTTTAAGCTTAGCCAAACACTCTCTTAGTCCACAAGGTGTGTAAAAAGCAGTCACGAACCTTCTCGGGGAACAAAGAAGCGTACTTTGCGATGGTCACAAATGCCACTTGTTTCTTTTGTTGCTTCTTTTCAGAGTCAGTAGTGGTAGTGGTAGATTGTATAGGTTCATTGTCGTGAGTGTCTAATGACTTCTTCTTTTTGGAAATTAGATCCTCATTTAGGTCTACACTAATTTCTCCCAAAGATATATCAATGTTTTTAATGGAGACTCCCATTTCTCTACAAACAAGATTGTAACGGTATGAGATAAACTAATTATGAAGCTATGTAGTAATACTAAATAGCATCCACAATATATAGCTATATAGGGACTCTAAATTACAAAGGATTTATATGATTGATCTGTTATTGTATAGCTAATAAATACAATGTAACATTCCAAATTTAAAGGTAGAATTATTTTTGTTAAATTAGTTAGGAGATAAATAATTTAATAAACTAATAATAAAATAATAAGAGTTTTAACACTTAAATTTAATACAAAAAGGGTTAGAATAAGCAAATTGTAACGACCGTAGGTCCAGACTAGTCAATTTAGAGATAATAAGGGTCGAAAACGACTTTTCGAAAAAAGATTATTTAGAATAAATAATCTTAACTAAGTTTTAGAATACGTCTCAAGGGTTCCGTGCATATAAAGAACGCCGAAATCCGAGTTATAACGAATAAGTTATGGTCCGTCGAAGTTTTACGGCAAAACCGGCACGACACCAGGAGACGTAAATAGTGAATTTACGATGGAAGAGTTTTTAGCCTTAGAAATATATAAAAAAAAAAAAAAAAAAAAAAGTTTTAGTATATGTTAAACCGAGAACATACAAAAAAAGAACTCCCAAATCTGACTTCGTATGAGGAAGTTATGAATTTTCTAAGATTTTGCTTAGCAGTGCACAGTCCGAAACTCGAATTTTAGATCGAGAGGTTTTTGGCCTAGGCAACCTAAATGAGAATTGAAGATCTCATTAATAGGAACTCAACGGTAAAAAGACAGATGAAAACAGAGTCTGTATGTAGAAGTTATGAATTTTAAGCGAACACTTAACAGTATAATCTCCTCGTACTGTTAAATTTAAGATCGGTCGAGAATTAGCCGACGGAGTCAAAATGAAAGTTGTAGATTTTATTTTACCTACACGTGGATATAAAGAACGTCAAAAACGAAGGTCGTATGTGAAAGTTACGAATTTTAGAAGTCGGAAGTGTGCTGTGCGAAAATGGGTGATGTGGCACAATCTTGGTCATTGCTTTCTCCCCAAGTCTTGCCACTAGATGGTGACATGTGACACCAAGTTCAGCCATTTTCACCCTATAAATAGAACCCCTCTCACTCAAATTTTCTTCACACATTTCCCATTCTTTCTTCTCTTTACTCTTTCTCTAGAACCTCTCTAGCCCCGAAACCCCCGAAAAGCCTAAGGAACCTTCCTAGCACGAGGCGGAAGCCCCAGAGTGTTCGATGGCTCCGAGATGAGCTACGCCCATGCTATTTTTATAAAACCCGCTCTAAGTGAGCTACGCCCATGCTATTTTTAATATAGCTTTTATTTAATTATAGTAACGTTATTGGGAACTTATAATAAGTACTTGGGCTATTATTATGGGTTATATAAGTATTTTTTTTTTAACGTTTATATAATAGTAATAATAGCTAGACTATTAATTAGTCTCGGCGAATAATATACTAAACTCTAGTGGTAATAATAGTAGGTTTCGTCGAAGGAAATTATTTTTTAGAAGCGAAACATTGTTTGAGTTCAGAATCACCACCTTTTCAAGTGAGTGCATGGCCCCTTTCATCCTACACATACATATGAAGTATTTAATATAAATTACGTGCTATGTGTGCATATTGTCTGAATACTTGTTCTCTAGATTGGGTGAAATATTTTTATACACCTTTTAAATGATTTAAAATGTATATATATTTTATATCTACAAAATGTGTTGGGTAAAACATGAGTAGATGTAATAGTTGATGTGTGGCCAAATAAAATAATGAGAGACCTCGATATAGATGTTATTGATGATCCAGTCATCTAGCGGAGTATAGATGACGACCACGGACTATTCTAGACAGTCCAATGGAATGCTAGCAGACTCGCAACCTGTAGGTGTTTATTTAAACTGTATGCTCACCAGCAGTACTCAATCCTCCACATGGCCGCCTTATTTGACATGAATTGCTGAGGAACCCGCGAAGCATGTGTTGTCACATCGATGAATGTCCTTAGACTAGGTCCCTTGTGTTAGATGTTTTAGGGACGTAAAGTGAGGATAATGAAAACGGGTAATCGGGTTTGTTTGGTTTGATAAAGTTAATATTTTTATTTATTGTGGGTTGAAAACCCTATGTACTCACCAGGTTTCCTAACCTGATCCACTCAGTATATTTATATCACAGGTGTTGATATGAAGTCACATTACACTGAGAGATTAAGGAGATATAAATCACTAGTGATAATGAATGTAAGTTCTGTTTATGTTTATGTTTCTGTATTGATGATGACATCCCAAATGTTTTAAAATGAATAAAAATACATTTCGTTGGAAATGATTTGATACGTACTTATCATGTTTTACTGGGAACAAATTCCGCAATATTTTTATTAAAAGAGGTACTCTGATTTTTATAAAGCATAAACAAAAAAAATATATCTTTTCTGGCCGTAAAAATGGGGATGTCACAGTTGGTATCAGAGCATTAATTTAAGCGAACTAGGAATAAGGATTTATTTATAGACTTAAACTTAGAATGCTAAGCGATGATCGTGATGAGTGTGTCTAATATATTTTAGGTAGTACACCTGAATAGACACAAGCACTAGCTTAATTAGGGAAGATGCCTAAAATGTTTTATGGGCTAAATGGTTTGTTATGCTTTATGCTATTGTTTGATCGGATCTATGGTCTGATGTCGAATGGATCTGGAAATTTTATGTGTTCAGATTTCTAAATGTTTAATTACGGTGTTAGAACTGATATGTAACTTTTCGAAGTAATAAGGAGGAATACGCGTCTAAATCTTCCTCTATCTATATTCTCGTCTCGATACACTGAACGCCTACTTTGGTGTGCAGAACATCATGGTGAAGACTCGTAGTGAATTGAGTGAATGGAGGAAATGAGAAGGCTTATGATATTGAATGGTACCTATCGGAAGATATCGTAAGAGTGATATCATGCCTTTAGAATGCGTATAATAAATAATACGTCTAGTACGGGAGAAGTACATGTTCGATTAGTAGAAAGAAAGATTTTTGGTATAATCCATGAAGTTATCCTATCGCCTGACATTTCCATCACCAACCGAGTAAAGCAGAATTGATGATTGAAGATACGTATAGAAGAAGTATTAATAGAGTCTAGAGAAAATTATATGATTGTTTGGAGACATTTGTATGTCTTAAAATTGTTTATGTGATAATGACTTGGAGAATTGTGAGACAATACTTGGGACAAGTATTAGTAGGTGTGAAAGGTAGTAGAGGCCTATACTACCGAAAGCATATGACTCACACTTGGATCAGGGAAAGTCACAAGGTTACCAAGAAGCTAGTAATTGATACTATTTTATTCAAATATGTCGTTACCATCGTTTCGGTAATGACTAAGAGGATGATTGTTATTCCGACCCTAATGGTCATATCGAATTGAGTCCGACTACGATAAGTATGTTACGTGGTTCAGAGAACCAAGTTTGATGTAGCATCTGACTTAAATCGGAAGATTGAAATAAAAGATAATCAAAGTGATCGGTAGAGGTATCACGATAGTGGCTTGTAGCTGGAAATTCTACCTTTTAAGATGTGATTAGAACATGAAGAAATGTATAGTCTGTTCTGGAAGACTCTAATAGACCTGAGTCTAAGCGTGGGAACATACAATGATAAGTCATTAGAATATGACACATCGGTCCATTTTAGTAATAAAATAACTTATCTTAAGTTTGTTAAGAAGAAGAAGCAGTCTCCAGTAAGGATCGAGATTGTGACCTGAAGGTCATAATTTGGAGACTAATGTGAGATAGGGAGCAAGTGCAAGATCGAGTACCGCCTGCAATCAGGAAGTCTTAGAGTTAGATATCCGTTCGAAGAAACATCAAAGTTACAGTTATTACTTAGGATGAAGAGATAACGTATGGAGTCATATTGTGAGCCTTGTTGCATTGATGATACCGGGACGTAATCATCCTAAGGGGGAGATAATTGTAACGCCCGTAGATCCGGGCTAGTCAATTTAGAGATAATAGGGGGCGAAAACGAATTTTTGACAAAAGATTATTTAGAACAAGTTGTAGAATACGTCTCAAGGGTTCCGTACATATAAAGAACGCCGAAATCCGAGTTATAACGAAGAAGTTATGGTCCGCCGAAGTTTTACGGCAAAACCGGCACGACACCGGGAGACGTAATAGTGCGTTTATGATGGAGGAATTTTTATCCTTATAAATATAAACAAATGTTTTAGTATACGTTAAACCAAGAACATACAAAAAAAGAAAGCCCAAATCTGACTGCGTATGAGGAAGTTATGAATTTTCTAAGATTTGGCTTAGCAGTGCACAACCCGAAACACGAATTTTAGATCGAGCGATTTTTGTCCTACATGACCTAAATTAGAATTGAAGATCTCATTAATAGGAACTCAAAGGTAAAAATACAGATGAAAACAGAGTCCGTATGTAGAAGTTATGAATTTTACGCGAACATTTAACAATATAATATCCTCGTACTCTTAAATTTAAGATCGATCGAGAATTAGCCGACAGAGTTAAAATGAAAGTTGTAGATTTTATTTTACCTATGCATGGATATAAAGAACATCAAAAATGGAGGTCGTATGTAAAAGTTACAGATTTTAGAAGTCGGAAGTGTGCTGTGCGAAAATGGGTGATATGGCACAATCTTGGCCATTGCTTTCTCCCTAAGTCTTACCACTAGATGGTGACATGTCACATCAAGTTTAGCCATTTTTCACCCTATAAATAGAACCTCTCCCACCCTCATTTTCTTCACACCTTTCCCATTCTTTCTTCTTTTTACTCTCTCTCTAGAACCTCTCTCTAGCCCCGAAACCCCCCGGAAAGCCTAGGGAACCTCCCTAGCATGAACCGGAAGCCCCGGAGTGCTCGATAGCTCCGATAAGAAGAGCTTTTCAGCTTGAGAACGCTGCTCCAAGCAAAGCCAGGTTTTCTATAAAACCCGCTGTAAGTGAG